GGTATAAATTGATGTCATGTTTAGGACTAGATGTAAAATAGGAAGTGTGCGCAAAAAGAGCTGAGCTATCTCTCAAATGTTTTGTTAGAGCAATAAAATTCAACAATTGCCCGTGTATACTCTGTGAACAGATTGAACGACGAAATTTTCACTCATTGTTGCTGGTGTGTGCCGGTAGAGAGCCAGATGGAGGTTGACTAGGCTCGTCAGGTTTACTTCTGGGTTAACGTTCACATAGCATTCGAAAAAGGCAGATGATGCGTTCCCAAACGCCTTTGATGCTGAATTGATGGAGACTGTGCCAATCGTGACCGCCTAAAGTCATACTTAACAGCAAGTACGACGGTAAACAAAATTTTCTTGCCAATGTATTGAGTTAAATAATATGAGAATACTAGTGGGGGTAATTGGTAAAATACCTCTACGGTTTAACGAGGAAGAAAGGGTGTCTGACGGTCGCTCTATTGAAACTGTTTGGTTAGTTATCAACCACAAAGTATTTGGAAATATTGCCTCAGTCTACAGCGATTTATAGTGACCAATTTTCGCAAGCTTTAAACGCCAAACACTGTAGCTGGGGGCTTTTTGAGTGGCCAACTAGCCGGAAAAAGTGAGGGTGTGAAAAGCTTCAGGGATGCCTTGTACCATCAGACTAAATAACGCGCTTCCTTTGGCGTCAATAACAGGGGCATAGGTTAGAGCGGAAAAACTTAGCGTGAATGTTTCTGACTTTGCGTCTTCTGGAGACTATGCATACTTAGCATACTGCCGCCACGCTTCAAGACGGAGAAGCCAGACCAGATTGCAGGGTTCAGCGAGGGAGATGAATGAGGAAAGGGTAGCGGTGCACAGTTTTGCTGAAGCTGGCCTGTTTGGAGTGGATGGCTCCGTGTCTAATGAGTAGAGCTGGTCATAGGCAAAGTCAGGGGGTTTGTCTAATTGGCAGCTTTGGTGTCATGGTATGCCTACTTGCATCCCTGCTGGAAGCCATTTCCTCTATAACGATCAAAAAATGTTTAAACAGGGGACAACATAGGTTCTGAGAGCAGACGATGCAAGCTCCTAAAGCTACTGCTCAAACAATGAACTCAAGGTTACGCTCCTGAGCCGATGAGTCTCTTTGAGCGACAAGAGCATGTAAAGTGATGGTCTCGGCAGGAACCGGCCCGGAGACGCAGTTAGCCTTGCCGATGAGTTCCACGTGATTCAGAGCTAAAGCAGCCTCTCGGATATGCATGTGGTGCCGTCAGGCGCCTTTGAAAAAAACGTTTGATGAGCCTATTCATCAAACTAACAGCGTCTGGAATAGAGATAAATGCTTTCTGGTAGTCGTCTACAGATTTTCACAGCCTCATGTCAAACATTAATTAAAAGCAGTCAAACGACCATCATGGGGCGTCTACATGTCGACATGCAGTGCTTTTCGTTGCAAAGCTACCAGAGAAATCCGATAAACACTGGTGGGTGCTCCGACGCTCCGACGCCTGACAACGAGCCATGATGACACGTGAAGACGTTATGACCGAGAAGCCGTTATTTAAGAACTTAACAAGTGACCTTGAGAGTGACCTTGACGGTGCATGGTGCAAGGTAGCCTGTGATCTCAGGTACAAAGAGACACCTTGTCGCCTTACACTGAATCGAGCCCGTGATTTTGGCAAATCTGTAATCGAAGTTGTCACGGGCCAAAATGCTGAGGCCTGATTCACTGTTAACACCAACATCAGCAACAAAAGTTTTGTTACTATCTCGCTTCTATTAAAGTGCATAAACAGGGAATAATTTTGCATTCCCGCGCATGCGGACAAACTAGCCAGCGGCTAGACGCACAATGTATTTTTCTGCAAAACCCCTGTAGCCGAAATGAAAACTTTAACGTCAAAATGTTGCACTTCTTTGCATATATGCGTAGACTGAAAACCCCCTCATCTGCCGTCATTTTTTTGCGATTTGTTTTA